AAAATAAAACTGTTATTAGCAGATGAAATTCACATACATGTGGTAATCTACTAAAAACAAAAGATGGCCCTCCTTTTCCTGTAGTCCACGATCAGCTCCTTTGTCTTGCCCACGTTGAGGAAGAGGTTGTTGTCCTGGCACCACACTGCCAGGTCTCTGACATCCTCCCTATAGGCTGTCTCATCGTTGTCGGTGATCAGGCCTACCACTGTTGTGTCGTCAGCAAACTTAATGATGGTGTTGGAGTCGTGCTTGTGGGCACTATGGTGATGAGCTTTGTGGGCACTATGGTGTTGAACACTGAGCTGTAGTCAATTAACAGAATTCTCACATAGGTGTTCCTTTTGTCCAGGTGGGAAAGGGCAGTGTGGAGTGCGATTGAGATTGCGTCATCTGTGGATCTGTTGGGGCGGTATGCGAATTGGAGTGGGTCTAGGGTTTCCGGGATGATGGTGTTGATGTGAGCCATGACCAGCCTTTCAAAGCACTTCATGGCTACCGACGTGAGTGCTAGGGGGGCGGTAGTCATTTAGGCAGGTTACCTTTGCTTTCTTGGGCACAGGGACTATGGTGGTCTGCTTGAAACATGTAGGTATTACAGACCCGGTCAGGGAGAGGTTGAAAAATATCAGTGAAGACACTGGCCAGTTGGTCCACGCATGCTCTGAGTACACGCCCTGGTAATCTGTCTGGCCCTGCGGCCTTGTGAATGTTGAACTGTTTAAAGGTCTTGCTCACATCGGCTACGGAGAGAGTGATCACAGCTGGTGCTCTCATGCATGCTTCAGTGTTGCTTGCCTCAAAGCGAGCATAAAAGGCATTTAGCTCGTCTGGTAGGCTCGCGTCACTGGGCAGCTCGTGGCTGGGTTTCCCTTTGTAGTCCGTAATAGTTTGCAAGCCCTGCCACATCCGACGAGCGTCAGAGCTGGTGTAATAGGATTCAATGTTAGTCCTGTCTGAGGGCATGGCGGGATTTCTTATAAGCGTCCGGATAATGTCCTGCTCCTTGAAAGCGGAAGCTCTAGCCTTTAACGCGGATGTTGCCTGTAATCCATGGCTTCTGGTTGGGATATGTACGTACGGTTCACTGTGGGGACGATGTTGTCGATGCACTTATTGATGAAGCCGGTGACTGAGGTGCTATACTCCTCAATGCCATTGGATGAATCCCGGAACATATTCCAGTCTGTGCTAGCAAAACAGTCCTGTAGCGTAGCATCTGCGTCATTTGACCACTTCCGTATTGAGGGAGTCACTGGTACGAGGGCGAAGGAGAGCTTTGTATGCGTCTCTGTGTGTGGATAAAAGGTGGTCAAGAGTTTTTTTCCCACTGGTTGCACATGTGACATGCTGGTAGAAATTAGGTAAAATTGATTTAAATTTGCCTGCATTAATGTCCCCGGCCACTAGGAGCGCCGCTTCTGGATGAGCATTTTCTTGTTTGCTTATGGCCTTATACAGCTCATTGAGTGGGGTCTTAGTGCCAGCATCGGTTTGTGGTGGTAAATAGACAGCTACGAAGAATATAGATGAAAACTCTCTTGGTAGATAGTGTGGTCTACAGCTTATCATGAGGTACTCTACCTCAGGCAAGCAATACCTCGAGACTTCCTTAATATTACACATCGCGCACCAGCTGTTATTGACAAATTCATTAAACTCTGACTCATTAAAGCAAAAAATCTTCATCCAGTTCGAGGTGAGTAATTGCTGTTCTGATATCCAGAAGCTCTTTTCGGTCATAAGAGACTGTAGCAGCAACATTATGTACAAAATAAGTTACAAACAAAGCAAAAAAACACACAAAATAGCACAGTTGGTTAGGAGCCCATAAAACGGCAGCCATCCCCTCCGGCACACACAAAATGTTTTATCATACACTCACCTGCAACTTCACCCCACAACACCCTCCACCCGAAACCAAGGTCTCACACTTCATTCCCTCCCTCCCCCTCTATATCCCTCTCCCTCACCCATCCTCCCCCACATTACATAGAGCCCCACAGAGATGAATGTTGCTTGAGAAAAACTCAGACCAGATCATCTTGTCTTTTTCTTTCTGTTTTTATTGGTTTGGCAGGGAGACAGACTGGGGAGCTGTGATAGTCAAGTCTCAACAGTTTCAACACAAGTCTCAACAGTTTCTCTCCAGCACTGTGGCTGGTGTTGTAGGAATACCGGTCCTCCCTTGGTGTGGCAGGAATAGGAGTCCTTCCTGAAACAAGACATTAATAAGAATACAGTGGCTTGCGAAAGTATTCACCCCCCTTGGCATTTTTCCTATTTTGTTGCCTTACAACCTGGAATTAAAATGGATTTTTTGCGGGGTTTGTATCATTTGATTTACACAACATGCCTACCACTTTGAAGATGCAAAATATTTTCTTTGGTGAAACAAACAAGAAATAAGACAAAAAAAAACAGAAAACTTCAGCATGCATAACTATTCACCCCCCCCCCCCCCCCCCCCCCCCCAAAGTCAATACTTTGTAGAGCCACCTTTTGCAGCAATTACAGCTGCAAGTCTCTTGGGGTATGTCTCTATAAGCTTGGCACATCTAGCCACTGGGATTTTTGCCCATTCTTCAAGGCAAAACTGCTCCAGCTCCTTCAAGTTGGATGGGTTCCGCTGGTGTACAGCAATATTTAAGTCATACCACAGATTCTCAATTTGATTGAGTTCTGGTGTTCCAAGGCATTTAACTGTTTCCCCTTAAACCACTTGAGTGTTGCTTTATCAGTATGCTTAGGGTCATTGTCCTGCTGGAAGGTGAACCTACCCTAAACCACTCGAGTGTTGCTTTATCAGTATGCTTAGGGTCATTGTCCTGCTGGAAGGTGAACCTCCATCCCAGTCTCAAATCTCTGGAAGACTGAAACAGGTTTCCCTCAAGATTTTCCCTGTATTTAGCGCCATCCATCATTCCTTCAATTCTGACCAGTTTCCCAGTCCCTGCCAATGAAAAACATCCCCACAGCATGATGCTGCCACCACCATGCTTCACTGTGGGGATGGTGTTCTTGGGGTGATGAGAGGTGTTGGGTTTGCGCCAGACATTTTCCTTGATGGCCAAAAAGCTCAATTTTAGTCTCATCTGACCAGAGTACCTTCTTCCATTTGTTTGGGGATTCTCCCACATACCTTTTGGCGAACACCAAATGTGTTTGCTTATTTTTTTCTTTAAGCAATGGCTTTTTTCTGGCCACTCTTCCGTAATGCCCAGCTCTGTGGAGTGTTCGGCTTAAAGTGGTCCTATGGACAGATACTCCAATCTCCACTGTGGAGCTTTCCAGCTCCTTCAGGGTTGTCTTTGGTCTCTTTGTTGCCTCTCTGATTAATGCCCTCCTTGCCTGGTCCGTGAGTTTTGGTGGGCAGCCCTCTCTTGGCAGGTTTGTTGTGGTGCCATATTCTTTCCATTTTTTAATAATGGATTTAATGGTGCTCCATGGGATGTTCAAAGTTTCGGCTATTTTTTTACAACCCAACCCTGATCTGTACTTCTCCACAACTTTGTCCCTGACTTGTTTGGAGAGCTCCTTGGTCTTCATGGTACCGCTTGCTTGGTGGTGCCCCTTGCTTAGTGGTGTTGTAGACTCTGGGGCCTTTCAGAACAGGTGTATATATACTGAGATCATGTGACAGATCATGTGACACTTAGATTGCACACAGGTGGACTTTATTTAACTAATTATGTGACTTCTGAAGGTAATTGGTTGCACCAGATCTTATTTAGGGGCTTCATAGCAAAGGGGGTGAATACATATGCACACACCACTTTTCCGTTATTTATTTGTTAGAATTGGTGAAGTGAAATGTTTTAATTTCACTTCACCAATTTGGACTAGTTTGTTTACAGGTTGTAATGCAACAAAATAGGAAAAACTCCAAGGGGGATGAATACTTTTGCAAGGCACTATACAGTAATAGGAATACTTGTGTGTATCGTTGACCAAGTCTTTGTCCACAGGAGGACCTCAAAGAGACCAGGCAAGGGTCATCAGAGGTGGGGTCCAGGCAAAATCCCCTCAATATTTGCAAAAGGAGGCAAGCACAGTCTCTCACACACAATAACAAACACACACACACACAAACAAAACGCAGCTCTCTATTAGCTAGCTCATGCAGTCCGTGTGTAACCATGGCTGGTGTAGGTGTCCGTCCCATCAATACATTTCAAGGGTCCAAGAAGACATACATTGGTCATTTCAATTGACAGTACATTCTATAAGCTTTAAGGACATCATGATTCCATGCTAAACTAAGGCCATGTCTGCGAGTAGTTTACTTGACTGAGTAGTGGTTCCCTTGTAGAGTTACTCACACCTGGCTTAAGTTGGAACTGGTAGAAGTTACCTCTAACCGCGGGTCCGGGATCTGATATTATTTTATCCCTCTCATGGTTCAGGTTATGATTTGGGGTTGGGAAATGTGATAGTAGATCTGTAGTTAGGGGCAACTTCTACCTAGCATTGAAGGTACACCAGAAGATTAGCACCAGGTAGGCTGGTCTTTAGGTGGTGTCATCATCACACCAGCATTCAAGGCAAGAGTGACATCATTTAAAACAGTCTGAACAGAGCTGAGAGGACCACCATTCTCAGATCATCATCATCATCATCATCATCATCATCATCATCACTATGTACAGTATATACACACTTATTTACAATACACACATACTGGTGTCAGGGTAGCTGGTACTGGCACACATTAGAAATAATAACACACAGAACACAGACAGACAGCACCTCTGGTGGCGGAGAGAGGAAATACATTGAAACACAGGTTTGTGAAAAGCTTGGCACTGTAGATTTCTCCCACATGAACAATAACAACACTACAGGGTCTAAGGTCAAAGGTCAGAGAGTCAGTCTTAGTGGTAAACAACATGGGGGCTTTCGTTTGATTGACAGCTGGGCCCCAGAGTGGATAAGAGGGGTGTGGGACTTGACATTCCTCTCCTTCTCCTCCCCCTCTCCTACTCCCCTCCTGGTCGATCTTAGAGCAGGCAGATGAGGCTCTTGCCCTCCTCGATCTCCTCCTGCACCTTGTCTGAGGACGTGGCGATCTCGGCCTGGGCTGAGAACACAGCGCAGATGAAGGTGAGCACGGTGCCTCCCATGGCTGTGTAGAAGGCCCAGCCCATGGTGCACAGCCCCGCCTGGTAGGGAGCCGCGTCCTGACCACAGTACAGCTGCACCTTGTCTGAACCCCAGCCTGCAGGGTACAGCATCAGACCCAGGATCAGAAACAGACCTGGGCCAGAGAGAGTGGAGAGAAAGGCACTGTTAGTTCATAATAGACCTACACGCAGCAAACAAATCAACAGTTATTATGTGTGACTGATTGAAATGTGTGTTTGAAAGGTAGCTTAAAAAAATAGTGGAATAATGACAACACATTCTCTAAAGTCCATCCACAGGACATTCTCTGGTATCAAAACATTTCCTGTTTCAATAACACGTTTGCATTCTAATTTCCCGTTGGTCAAAAATATTATACTGGCTAAAATGATTTCCTTTGCCATCTCTTTTCAAATGGGACTCCTACTCTGTTTCATTCCAACAATTCACCTGGCCAGTGTCAACTCTCATTGCCGCAAAAAGGCTTGATACCTGTCTTTCCCCAAACGTGTCCCCACGTCACGACCCTGAGGTTACAGCACAATGCAACCCGGGGGTTAAGGCACAATACGACTCTGGGGTTATGGCACAATACGACCCTGCTGTCAGCTCTGGATCCCTGGGGGTATCGCAAAATGTGTGACCTGGGGTTACAACAGCTAAACAACAGGAAAAGGTAGCCAGAGGGGTTCGACCCCCCCCACCCCCATCACTGAACTAACCGACTAATCCTGTGTCTCAGCTTCCTGTGTCTCTCTCTGCTGAAGGATGAAGCCACTTCTGTGGGTCTGGGACCCACTTCCAACACCCCTGCACTGTACAATATTCCACTTCTAACACCACACCGATTATGTTCCAACACCCCTGCACTGTACAATATTCCACTTCTAACAGCACATGGATTCTGTTTCAACACCCCTGTACAACAGCAGAACCTAGAGGAGAGCCTAATAGAGGCCTGCTCAGTAGTAGCAAGAGAAACCTTCACCCAATCCCTAATATGACCCAGTGAAGTGGAGACAATGCATGTAGTCTGTGTTCAATATCACTGTATCCTTGTACAGGCCCAGGATACTTCTTCCACCATCACCATACTCAACAATGACGTTATAGGAAAAGGCAGTGACCCTATTTCTAGTTCAGGCTTTGACACACACCAGGAGATGCTCTGAAACTACAATATTCGAAGTCTACTACTAGACGACTGGGAGCTCCGTTAGTGGAACTACAATAGTAGTACTGGATGTCCACTAGAGTCTAGACTGGGAGCTCTGTAACTACAATATGTCTACAGGCACATATTACGAGAGAGAGAGAGAGAGAGACACAGAGAGACAGAGACACCGAGAGAGACAGACAGACAGAGAGACAGAGACACACACAGAGAGAGAGAGAGAGAGAGAGAGAGAGAGAGGAGAGAGAGAGAGAGAGAGAGAGAGAGAGAGAGAGAGAGAGAGAGAGAGAGAGAGAGAGAGCGAGAGGGAGACACAGACAGAGAGCGAGACAGAGAGAGCTCCTGCACCTCTACACCAGACCAGCACTCTAAACCTCCTTCCCTCCCTCCTTCCCTCCCTCTGCCCCTGCCCTGCTCACTTGCTCCTTCAGGAGATGAAAAACAAGAGTGCAATGCCGACACCAGCTTTATCCCTCTCTCTCTTTCTCCCTCTCTGTCTCTCCCTCAGAGCAGACCAATATCGTATTAAACACGGAAATGAAAAGTAGGTCATAAATTCTTTCCACATGTTACTGCATTGCCTTAACGGTCAGAGCAGCTCTGGTGATGGACTGGAGGTATGGTTTCAATTCTACAACACCCCCAATACACACACACACACACACACACACACACACACACACATACATACATACACACACATACAACCCCCTCTAAAGAAATCCCTCTACCCACTGGACCCTTAACCTAATATCCCAGTCCACTTCAACTGAATATCCTGCATCCTGTGAATATTAACTGCTTGCCTCCTTCTGCAACCTGGCCTGTATATTAACCATTCGTCTCCAACTGTCTCCATAGCCTCCTCTCTTTCTGTGCTCTCTTCCTCTACATCTCTAGGTGGGGTACCCCTGCATACTCTTTCACCCCTCTCTGTGTCAAAACCCCTCTACCCCGCCTGTACCCCTCCACTCCCCGACCATGGTTCCCAGACAATTTGGGTATCCACCTTCCCTCAGCTCCAGGAAATGGTGTAAACGTACCGCAACAGACTATAAGAGCCAGAGGTACATATTTATTTCCTCTCCACACATATGTGACCAGTTTCAGGAAGCTAGGCGTATCTCGCACGTCACTACTTCACAGGAGAGGCATTTGAACGTCTTTTTTAAAATATTTTTTATCAAAATGCGTTTTTGGGCAGAAATGCCTTCTGGAACATGTGAACTTTCATGTGCCTTAATAACAAACTTGTACTCCATCTGTAAATATGAATAAAATGGTTAAATTACGAGCCTAGTTGGTTTAGCCACGGAAAAAGACAGGAACCTTCCCGCTAGCCATAATTGGCTGAGATAATGGGTGGGCTGGACATGCCGGGAGATGTCTTTGGATTGGTCTGCCATGTAGCATGCTTCTGTCTATAACGTGAGCTGCTCAGTATGTGTTGACAATCCTTTCTACCACAGCGTTTTTGAAAGATATAACATTAGCCATTTGAGAACTACAAAAGTTTTGCTACTTTTCTCAACAACATTAATGCCCTGAATTTAACAGGCGCTATCGACAGATCAGTTGGAAAAAGTTGTGATGGGCTACTTTATGCACACGCCATGGTCAGTGTGAACCAGAGTGACTTGACACAACGCTGGCCAAACAAGATGTAACTACAAACAAAACAGAGTTAAATGGTTCCAGTCTGCCGTGAAGCGTTCATCCATGTATACGGGTAAGAGTCTAGCTACATTTTCAGATATTATACATTTCAAATTTTGTCAGAAAGTAGTTTTCATTGCAAGTTAAAGCGTACTGTTAGCTAGCTAGCAAACGTTAGCTTGCTGGCTCGCTAGTTAACGTTACGTGAATGATCTGTGTAGTAATATTATTCGAATCAGAAACACATTTGCATTGCTAGTTATAGCCTAATGTTAGCTAGCTAGCTAACATTGAACCTAGTTGGTTAGCTTTAGCTACCTGCGAATTCATACTACAGCTATGACAATCAGTTTGTATTGGTAGTAGTATGAGTTGGGATTATGCTGGTTCATTGTTTAGCTAGCTAGCTAGCTACTTGTCTAAACAAAAGACTCCACTTCGCCAGATGATTACATGACCCATCAAGTTGGCCAGGTGTGTCTGGGGGTGATTACAGCCATCTATTGTATTTCATGAACATGTGTACATGTCTAGACAACAGTGACCCATCCACTTACCTAGATGTGGCTGGGGGGTGGTTATAGAATTTATTTCACATGACCCATCAATTTAGGTAAGCGTCATATAATAATTATAAAATATTTATAAAATATTTATATCTGGACACTTTCTGTTTTTGATCATGCTACTACGTAAATATACAAGCAACCATTTCACTGTACCATTTACACCTTCTGTATACTGTGCATGTGACAAATAAACATAGATTTATTTTATAATGTGTGTTTACCATAAACAGTAATGTGAAGAACAACATGACCTGCACCAAAGTCAGATTAGGATATAGGCCAAGGACTAGATAAAGTGTACTTTTTTCTTTTCTTTTTTTTACCCCCTTTTTCTCCCCAATTTCGGAATATATTCAAGTCAAAAAACTCCGTGAAGGATTACTACCGGAAGGAAATCTCCGGTTCGGACACACGCTGGACTTTGTTCTATTTGTAATTGCATTCGGACCATAAGGACAGCTCGCTTGGAAGGATTTGAACTCCTAGATTTCGCCAGCCGTGAGTAACCACTGCGAATGAATGAGCTGCCCTGTTCAAGGCGATCGTTTGATCATGCATATTATGGAAGCGCAAATGTGCTTATAATTGGAATGTTTGATAAACTTGGGAATGGAATTCAAAATACAGCGCTGTGAAAACAATTAAGAAGTTTAAGTTTGGGAAACACAGATCCTATGCACAATGTAGCCTAATCATATATCTAATATTTGGCCTAACGTGGAAATGCAATCCATCAACGCAACGAATGCAACTTAAGGATCTAAAGATACTGCGTGTTAAAACTTCATTAAAGGGACAAAACCTCAACGGGATGAAATGTTTAAAACGCATCTAAAATGCCAAACTTGCACATGTGCAATTCAAAATGGGTCAATATGCTGAAATGGATGACTGTGTTTTTAAAGATTAAAGGAGGTCTAAAGGGGCATTACATTTAACAATCACTACTGTAACAAATGACCCTAACGATCTAGAACCCCTGACTCCGAACCATCTGCTTCATCTGAAAGCAAAACAGTGGAGGTATTTGAACTCCAAACACAACCCAGCCGATGATGCCTCAAGAGGATTACATGTTGAAACTTTCCTGAACTCAAAGAGATGGCGCAAAGGACCAGAATTCCTGGAGAAAACAGAAACACAATGGCCGAAAGTCCCCGAGGAGCTTGGCTCCATCCCTCCAGATGATCCAGAGGTGAGAAAAGACGTCATCGTAAACAGTACATGTGTGGAAGAAAAGAGTCCGACCAGCAAACTGATTGAGTACTATTCAACATGGAACAGCTTGAAGAAAGCAGTTGCCTGGATGCTGAAACTGAAGAGACTTCTACTACAGTTAAGCCAGAAAAGGAAAGTTCTCACCCAAACTGATCCAGGATCAGATCAGAGTCTGACAAACTCACTGAAGGAACAAATTGACAAGTTCAAACTGACGTTTGGAAAAGAAAGTCTGTCTGTAGATGACCTAGATGAAGCAGAAAAGGTCATCATTCGATTTGAGCAACGACAGCACTTTAAACAAGAAATTGCACTAGTTGTAAAAGGAAAACAATGTGCCAAGAGAAGCGGCTCAATCTGTAAGCTTGATCCAATAGTTGACAATGGCATTCTGAGAGTAGGAGGAAGGTTAAGCAAAGCTGCTATGCCTACGGAACTAAAGAATCCTATGATCCTGCCCAAAGACTCCTACATCTCCAGACTGATCTTACTCCACATCCATGAGCAGGTTGGCCACTCTGGGAGAGGTCACATGCTTTCTAGACTTCGCCAGCGATATTGGATACCCTGTGCCAACTCCTTAGCAAGGAAGATCCTTAAGAGCTGTGTCTTCTGCAGGCGGATGCAAGCTAGAGCTGGGGAACAGAAGATGGCTGACCTTCCACAAGATCGGGTAGCACCTGATTTGCCGCCTTTCACCCATGTGGGCATAGATTACTTTGGCCCCATAGAGGTGAAGCGAGGCCGCGTTCATGTGAAGCGGTATGGTTTGATCTTTACTTGCCTTGTGAGTCGAGCTGTCCATCTAGAAGTTGCTAGTTATCTGGATACTGATTCCTGCATCAATGCCCTGCGCAGGTTCATCTGTCGAAGGGGCCCAGTAACAAGTATCAGAACAGACAATGGCACCAACTTTGTTGGAACACACAGAGAGCTAGGAGAAGCTCTGAAAGAGCTGGATCACAACAAGATTCAAAATAAATTACTGAAGGAAGGAGTGACATGGTCATTCAACCCTCCCTCTGGAGCCCACCATGGGGGGGTATGGGAGAGGTTGATCCGACTGGTGAAAAAGATCCTCTATTCAGTCCTTAAAGAGCAAGTACTGGATGATGAGGCTTTGCAGACAGTGGAGGAGTCATGCGCTGCAACTGCCCCAACGGGCTCGGGAGAGGTCGCTGAATGCGCGAAACATGAGCCAAAGGCTTAACACCGCCATTAACCTGGAAGCCAGCTGCACCAACATTTTGGAGGAAACACTGTTCAACTAACGACCGAAGTCAGCCTGCAGGCGCCTGGCCCGCCACAAGGAATCGCTAGAGCGCGATGAGCCAAGTAAAGCCCCCCCGGCCAAACCCTCCCCTAGCCCGGACGATGCTGGGCGAATTGTGTGCCGCCCTTTGGGACTCCCTGTCACGGCCAGTTGTGACACAGCCTGGGAACAAACCTGGGTCTGTAGTTATGCCTCAAGCACTGCGATGCAGTGCCTTAGACCGCTGCGCCACTTGGGAGGCCCCGATAAAGTGTACTTTTACCTGGAGGTTTTCTTATTGTAGGCTACTGCTTTTACCACTTTAAGTCTTGAAAATCTTTGGTTGTTTACTACACTACTCACTCTGTTTAGCACACAGCCTCACATGGGAATCCTTAAAGAGATGGGTGGGGCTAAGGCTTAAGAGGGTGTGAACGATGCTGAATGGGTGTAGACAAAGAAGAGCTCTCCAGTAGGTGTGCCAAAACATTCAAGGGCCAATTCTCTCAAGAGTTTATCAACTTTCAAAGCAGAATTACTTTCCCATTGTTCCTCAACTGCAGCGTATGATATACCATATTCTAGCTCTGAGTCTCTACATTTATCCAGTGTAAAAAACACAATTTCAAATTTTGCTACATAGGACCGAATCAAGGTGGTGGCTCACATAATAGAGTGTGATGGAAAAAGCGAAGAGGGAGAGAGCGGAGGAGGTCTCTCACTGGAAACGTCCAGACTGCTATGATTGTCAGGTAGGACCGTAAGCCAAGAGTGTCTCGGTCTAGGTCTGCTGGCTTCTAAAGACACTCTCATCAACAACTAAACTGACTTTACGCTTCCGCTGCTCCTCTGAACAAATCAGGTGTGTTAGAGCAGGGCCGGAGCAAAAGCCTGCATTCCCAGTATCTCTGCAGGAGGGTTGGCCACCTCTGCCCTATAGAGTTAAGAGAATGGTTTCAACAGTTAGAGAGTGGGTGAGACAGAGAGGACATGTTGTTTCTATGGGAAACCTGGGGGAGGTTTGTGTTTCGCTCTATTTGGCTCCACTGTCCCACGGAGGACTGTAGTGTAAAACTGTATTGTTCCTCTCTGTTTAGCTCCACTGTCCCACGGAGGACTGTAGTGTAACTGTATTGTTCTCTCTGTTTGTCCACTGTCCCAGGAGGACTGTATGTAAACGTATGTTCCTCTCGTTTATCTCCACTGTCCCACGGAGGACTGTAGTGTAAAACTGTATTGTTCCTCTCTGTTTAGCTCCACTGTCCCACGGAGGACTGTAGTGTAAAACTGTATTGTTCCTCTCTGTTTAGCTCCACTGTCCCACGGAGGACTGTAGTGTAAAACTGTATTGTTCCTCTCAATTTATCTCCACTGTCTCACGGAGGACTGTAGTGTAAAACTATATTGTTCCTCTCTGTTTATCTCCACTGTCCCACGAAGGACTGTAGTGTAAAACTGTATTGTTCTGCTCTGTTTATCTCCACTGTCCCACGGAGGACTGTAGTGTAAAACTGTATTGTTCCTCTCTGTTTATCTCCACTGTCCCACGGAGGCCTGTAGTGTAAAACTGTATTGTTCCTCTCTGTTTAGCTCCACTGTCCCACGGAGGACTGTAGTGTAAAACTGTATTGTTCCTCTCTGTTTTAGCTCCACTGTCCAACGGAGAGACGTAGTGTAAAACGGTATTGTTCCTCTCTGTTTATCTCCACTGTCCCACGGAGGACTGTAGTGTAAAACTGTATTGTTCCTCTCTGTTTAGCTCCACTGTCCCACGGAGGACTGTAGTGTAAAACTGTATTGTTCCTCTCTGTTTAGCTCCACTGTCCCACGGAGGACTGTAGTGTAAAACTGTATTGTTCCTCTCTGTTTATCTCCACTGTCCCACGGATGACTGTAGTGTAAAACTGTATTGTTCCTATCTGTTTATCTCCACTGTCCCACGGAGGACTGTAGTGTAAAACTGTATTGTTCCTCTCTGTTTATCTCCACTGTCCCATGGAGGACTGTAGTGTAATAGAAGAACAGGGAATAATAGGGACCTATATTATATCCTGATTCCTTCCACGCAGTCATTCTGTTCTGGTACTGTTCTGTTGGTAGGAAGTCCTACAGGCCTGATTCAGGATTACAGTAATATGCACCGTGACCATGGACCGGACTTTCCATTCATATCTATCAGCCTTATCTACAACGCACTTCCTTTCACCCGACTCTCACTCTCTCTCTTTCTTCTCTCTCTCTCTTTCTCACTCATTCTCCCCCTCATTCTCTCTTTCTATGCCTTTATTTCTTATACATCCACACTACGGTTGTAAACACTCTATCTCGCCATCTCTCAATATATCGCTCTCCCTTTATCTCTCACCCACATACCTCTATTGTCGACACTGGTTGTGATTGACCAACATCTCATACCTTTGCTTCGGTAATCAGATACATTTCCAGTAACACCCGTCCCGACCCGGTATTGTACTTCTGCTTTCTCTGTTTGCTCAACAATAGTAACATCTAGACTTAGACTATTCATCATGATCAGACTGTTCCAATACAGTCATTCTCATCTGTCAATCAGTCCTGTAACAGTCATATTCACGCTGTATCATTATTGCATTTCCTTTTCTGTTTACTGGATCACTGTCACATTCCCATCTGCCATTAACCCACAGCTAGCGCCCAGGTCAAAAGCCATCTGTGTGACAGTCCTATGACTCATCATGGCTGAATTTGGCTTGTCGTCTGGTTGGCTGGCTGGTTGGTTGGAGCTGGGAGGGAGAGTTTATGGCGGCAGTAAAATGATATTATGACACTCCCAGCTGTAGACCTGGAGACGGTTTAACTACCTGCTGTTTGTTAGTCTTCTTGTCGCTAACTGCCTTTCTGAAGAAAAAACCCACCTTGGTCTGGCCTTAAACACTTGGCTAGTTACATTACATCTCCAATTGATTCATTTTAGAGATAAAACCTTCCCAATATGACATTAGTGTGTATAAATGTGGTTAATAGAATCAGGACCACTCTGATGACTCCAGTGAGATGATGTGACCACCGCTGGCTACAGAAACACAATCTCTCCCCTGAGGTCAAGCAGTTCCCAAAACATCTGCCACCTGATCCCAGTTACGGTCACATTACGGGACCATTCCGGTCGGTCGGCACACTTAGTGGAAATGTTGATTGGAGGAAAGTCAAACTGGCAGAAAGGAGAGAGGAAGAGATGGAGAGAGGGAGAGAGAGGGGGAGAGAGATGACAAAGTGATATGGTGATATCTCAGAACTCTGCCTGGCGGAGAAACTACAGACTTTTCCATCCCTCTCGTCTAGGACACATGTGGAGGTGGAGGAAAAATACCAACACTGACCACTGCTTGGTGTGGTGTCGCTGCTGTGTGTGTTGGTCTTTATCCCTTTCTGTAGTCAGGGAGATGGTTAATGACCAGTCAGTTCAGACAAGGGGCTGAGGGCTGAGGCAGGGCTGAATATTTTCCTGGTATTTTACAAATGTTCCATCCCGAGAATAAATGACTTTTCTCCCGGGTAACCAAAAACCGGAAGTGTCATTCAACAGCCTGATGCTACTTGAGCCTGATGAGCCATACATTAAATACATTTTATGAGCCCTACATTAAAGACATTTAATGAGCCCAAGCACAAAAAAGCCAGAATGATTGTGCCATTATCCAATACATATATGATACAGGCTACTGCACATTACGCACAAGAGAAAAACATAAAAGCCCATAGATGTAGCTAGCTACAGTGGGGGATAAAAAGTATTTAGTCAGCCACCAATTGTGCAAGTTCTCCCACTTAAAAAGATGAGAGAGGCCTGTAATTTTCATCATAGGTATACGTCAACTATGACAGACAAAATGAGAAAAAAAAATCCAGAAAATCACATTGTAGGATTTTTAATGAATTTATTTGCAAATTATGGTGGAAAATAAGTATTTGGTCACCTACAAACAAGCAAGATTTCTGGCTCTCACAGACCTGTAACTTCTTCTTTAAGAGGCTCCTCTGTCCTCCACTCGTTACCTGTATTAATGGCACCTGTTTGAACTTGTTATCAGTATAAAAGACACCTGTCCACAACCTCAAACAGTCACACTCCAAACTCCACTATGGCCAAGACCAAAGAGCTGTCAAAGGACACCAGAAACAAAATTGTAGACCTGCACCAGGCTGGGAAGACTGAATCTGCAATAGGTAAGCAGCTTGGTTTGAAGAAATCAATTGTGGGAGCAATTATTAGGAAATGGAAGACATACAAGACCACTGATAATCTCCCTCGATCTGGGGCTCCACGCAAGATCTCACCCCGTGGGGTCAAAATGATCACAAGAACGGTGAGCAAAAATCCCAGAACCACACGGGGGACCTAGTGAATGACCTGCAGAGAGCTGGGACCAAAGTAACAAAGCCTACCATCAGTAACACACTACGCCGCCAGGAACTCAAATCCTGCAGTGCCAGACGTGTCCCCCTGCTTAAGCCAGTACATGTCCAGGCCCGTCTGAAGTTTGCTAGAGTGCATTTGGATGATCCAGAAGAGGATTGGGAGAATGTCATATGGTCAGATGAAACCAAAATATAACTTTTTGGTAAAAACTCAACTCGTTGTGTTTGGAAGACAAAGAATGCTGAGTTGCATCCAAAGAACACCATACCTACTGTGAAGCATGGGGGTGGAAACATCATGCTTTGGGGCTGTTTTTCTGCAAAGGGACCAGGACGACTGATCCGTGTAAAGGAAAGAATGAATGGGGCCATGTATCGTGAGATTCTGAGTGAAAACCTCCTTCCATCAGCAAGGGCATTGAAGATGAAACGTGGCTGGGTCTTTCAGCATGACAATGATCCCAAACACACCGCCCGGGCAACGAAGGAGTGGCTTCGTAAGAAGCATTTCAAGGTCCTGGAGTGGCCTAGCCAGTCTCCAGATCTCAACCCCATAGAAAATCATTGGAGGGAGTTGAAAGTCTGTGTTGCCCAGCGACAGCCCCAAAACATCACTGCTCTAGAGGAGATCTGCATGGAGGAATGGGCCAAAATACCAGCAACAGTGTGTGAAAACCTTGTGAAGACTTACAGAAAACGTTTGACCTGTGTCATTGCCAACAAAGGGTATATAACAAAGTATTGAGAAACTTTTGTTATTGACCAAATACTTATTTTCCACCATAATTTGCAAATAAATTCATAAAAAATCCTACAATGTGATTATCTGGATTTTTTTTCCTCATTTTGTCTGTCATAGTTGACGTGTACCTATGATGAAAATTACAGGCCTCTCTCATCTTTTTAAGTGGGAGAACTTGCACAATTGGTGGCTGACTAAATACTTTTTCTCCCCACTGTATATGATCTTTTTGAGTGTGAACTGTATTACTGTACTGTATTGTATTATACTGTATTATAGGGACTGGAATTACGCACATCGTTCAAACCATGATAAGGCAGGGAGAGAACATGCGATTCTGGTGCAGCACATGCAGCCTACAAAGTTAGAAGTATAGGCTAGCTAATTTCATTTTTATTTTGAAATATAATAGGGCCTATTCGTATTATTAGTAGGCTGACGCATATATACACCTTTCATAATATTACCGTTAATGTTATTAATCTACCTCCTCTTTCTCTCTCTATTGTTGCTACAGTCCTCCGTGGGACAGTGGAGATAACAGTTAAATGAAATAAGTTGTGTTGTCCTTATCTTCATCATTCTAATGACATTCTTCAATAATATAGGACTAGAATTAGATGCAGAAGGCTTTCTCTTCTCTTCACAAAGATTGAATGGTTATGGGTCTGAATAAATAACTGCTATAGCCTACCGCCATTGAGTGTTCGCTCTTCTTTCAAACTATCCTTGAGTTCTATTGGCTGCTGTATTTAACATTCAGCAAACAAGAGCTTGGTCCCTATTCGAATAGTCTATTGGTATAAGAAATGCAAAAAAAAAAAATGTCCAGCAAGCTTTTCTAGTCTAGCTTTTCCTGAATGTGACTCCAAGAGCTAAGGAGCGTTTTCTAAGGAGAGAGGCCAGCAGAGCACAGGTGCGTGCGTATTGCGCAAGAGACAGAGGCTATAAGTTAGAATCTTATTATGCATAACCCATCATTAATTAGCTAAATATAAAGCTAATACTGCATAGAATGTATTACCTGAAAGAGGTAGGTCAGGACATCTATATATAGTGCTACATATAAATCTAAAACAGGATTATCTATTTTGGATGCAATTTGAATGGAGTTGATGGAGAGGGAGAAAGACTGCGAGAGACAACTCGCGTGTGCACTGATTGAAAGCAAAAATATTCAAATGATAGGCTGTTTTAAAACTCTGCAGCTGCAAAAAAAACAACAACATCTTTACAATTAAAAAATAAGGTGTCCCCTGAAAGCCAGATGGAGATTAGATTCAGTCAGTCTTTATATTACTGTAGCATAGACTATGCTGCAGCAAATGCAGCCGTACCTGTCACAAGGAAAAAAGTTACCATTATAAGATGATAGGTCTACATGCAATGTGAACTGCACTCCATACTGAGATGGGCTGTCTGTCCCCACCCTGAGCGTTGATGATTCATCATGCAGATGTTGTAGAGAAGCCACATTTAGACATCATATCAATAATTTATTATAATTTAACGGTTTCTCACAGTTATTTATCCCAGGAATAGGGAGTGGTTTTGGGCGGTAAATCCCGGTAAATCTCGGTAACTGGGTTCCCGCCATTCAACCCTAGGCTGAGGGCATTAAGGAAACATCCCCCTGCTATTTCTGGTTTCCCCTTTCCTCTTCCTTATTCTCATCCTCTTCCTCCCGACGACCCACAGACCCTTAATGAGCAGTTCTGTTCTTCTAATCAGTCCAGTTGAGGACATCCTCTGATTGTCACTTTCACTAGGTCTCAATTACATTGTGGTAACTGTCCACCAGTGTAGCAGTCGCCAGATTCGAACTTTAACGACTAATGTGAAAACGCATCAAACTAATCTTACAGTAGATCAGTGTCTGTAGGGCAACTAGTTTCTGACCTACTCCTGACAGAGTCTATGGAACGAGTACAGGGGAGGAGAGGAGAGAGGGATGAGAGCTCTGAGAGAGAGATTCAGGCGGAATAACCTCACTCTCTCCAATGACCGCCTCCTCCCTCCATAATTCACCACAGCAGGTCAAAGCGGCTTGAGAGTCATACACAGATACACATTCACGCGCACACACCACACAGGTCACATGACATCATCCCCAGCTGACTCAAGAGGACAAATATTTGGGCCCTTGTTGCTGAAGGCTGCCATGGTTCCCTGACCCTTGACCTATAGGGTTAATGATCACCTCGAACACACAGAGAGGACGCTGGGAGAAAGAGTTAATGCACTCTCGGGGGCCTGTGTGTATGTATGTATGTGTGTGTGTACACGTGCATGTGTTTGTGTGTGGTCAGTGGGGTCTGATTGCTCTAGTTAGTAAAGGTTTAAACTCTGAAGAGGTGGACAGCAGCACCAAAGGTTAGATGGATGGGTTTGAATGTTGGCTGTTCAAACGGAACACACCCCTCCACAAGCCCCTCTCTCTCTCTATTCCAGGTGTTTAACAGTCAGTTAACTGTGTCTAACTACTGAACAGCCCAGACAAAACTACAACCAATCAACAGGCAATGCAATACTGCAAGCAGCAACCTCTTTCAGTCTCACCTGCGATGGCCTGCAGCAGTCCACACACGTTGAAGATGCTCTTCTTCATGATGCTCTGGAAGCACATGGTAAAGACAGAGATGAAGGCCACGGCACACAGTAGCAGGATCCCCGCCGCCAGGAAGATGGATGCTGCCTGCCAGAACCCGCTGGCGATCTCCCCAAAGTGCACGGCGTACGGCCCACACAGCACGCCGCGCCGCAGGTGGGGCAGCTTGATGCAGCGGCCGTAGATGCCCAGGGTGGGCCGGTAGGCCTCGCCAGCCGCCGTGGCACCATGAGGGCCGAAGACGGCGTCCGGAGTCCGGGGGAAGCCCACCAGCCAATCGGTGCTCATGAAGGCGATGAGCTCGCCGAAGGCGGCCACGATGCTGAGTAGAGTCCACAGCATGGAGCGACAGGTCACGATCACGTGGCACATGGTGATGATGATGTTTGGAGTGGTTCTGAAGTGTTCCTGGTAATGTTCCTTTTCCCGTCCAGTGGTTACACAGGTGGGGTCAAAGTGAAGGTTCAAGTCCACAGGGTCTTCAGGAAGAGGGGAAAGGGTGAAGGGAGAGAGTGAATGATGGGGTCCTGTTGTAACAGAGGTGTGAAAGAGGGTAAACAGTTCCAGTGCAGGGAAAGGAGGGAGGAGAAGGAGGGAGGGAGAGGTTGGTTTGGAGGCAGGGCCTGAGGTCAATGATTGAAAGTCTCTCTCTCTCTCTCTCTCTCTCTCGCTCTCTCTCTCCTCTCTCTCGCTCTCTCTCTCTCTCTCTCTCTCTCTCTCTCTCTCTCTCTCTCTCTCTCTCTCTCTCTCTTTCTTATCTCCCCCTGGTGTTGTTCCTCTTCCTTCTTTCTGGTTTGTCTCCCTCTCTTTCTTTCCGTCCTTCCCGCAATGTCTTACTCACTCGCTTTCTGTTTCTCTCTCTCTTTCTGTCTTGTGCGTAGAGTGTAGAATCTTCCAGCCGGAGTGTCTGTTTTTCACACACCCTCTCTCTCTCTCTCTCTCTCTCTTTCGTCTTTCTCTCTCTCTCTCGTTCTCTCTCTTCTGGACTCTACATCGTAGTGAAGGAGTGTCTCCAAGGCCAGCCAGCTGGCTTCTCACCAACTACACACCTTGAGAGAGAGAGAGAAAGAGAGGAGGGAGGGCGGAGAAGGGAAAATAAAGTGAGTGTGTTATTTATGGCAGTTGAAAGGGCAGACCATGGTAGAACACTCAGTTACATGATGCACTTATTTTACCAGGTAAGTTGACTGAGAACACATTCTCATTTACAGTAATGACCTAGGGAATAGTTACAGAGGGGGAGGAGGGGGGATGAATGAGCCAATTGGAAGCTGGGGATGATTAGGTGGCCATGATGGTATGTGGGCCAGATTGGGAATTTAGCCAGGACACTGGGGTTAACACCCCTACTCTTACGATAAGTGCCATGGGATCTTTAGTGACCACAGAGAGTCAGGACCCCCGTTTAACGTCCCATCCGAAAGACGGATTAGCAGTGTTGGAATCAAATGTTTCAGAAGCAGTGTTTTCCACCTCCCAACTCAGGCACCATTTCACTTTAATCAGCAAAGAAACTGGGTCATTGACCAACACAGCAGTTTAAAACAACCAACCATACACTAAAAGTAAGTGGCATAGCACAGCCATGGTGAATGGGAGTAATGGTGGATGAAACGTATAGACAGGGAGAGCCTTATGACAACATGGCTGCAGACAGAGAGAGGGGTTGTCTAAAACGAACCAACAACCTCTTGTAATGTTTACATAAAGCCAGGCCTGGAGAGGAAGAGAGGGATGGGAGAGGAAGAGAGGAGGACAGAGGAGGAGGGAGAGAGAGAGAGGGCAGGCCTGGTCAGTCAGATGTGTAGATGTGTGTCAGTGTTGGTTTGAAGGCCTCCTCTCTGAGTGTGTTTATGTCTGAGAGCCTGGAGGAGCCTGGCTACTCTGCTCTACTCTCTGTTTTGGTTTCCCCTGCAGAGCTCCCTAACTGACAGGGTCAGCTCCTCCTCCTTCCTCTTCCCATCGGTGTGTGTGTGTGTGTACTGTGTGTGTGTACTGTGTGTGAGTGTGCGTGCGTGCGTCTGTGTGTGAGGAGGTCCTCTGGGTCCAACACTGGTCTCTGTGTAGTGTCTGTCCCAGGGGGAGCTGGGTGGGATGTGGAGGGGAGAAGGGGAGATGAAGCGAAGAGAGGAGAGAGATGTGGAAAGAGGGAATGAGGGATCCTTTGACAAACGGACACAGACAGAGGGAAAAACAAACAATCTCAGATGAAAATGCCCACGCCACTGATGTAGGGCTGATAGCAGCCTGGCTGTCCAACCACCATGGAGCTAACACATAACTGACCTAGGGTCAGCCTGGCTGAGATAACCCTGCTGACATGGCCATTTAATAAACACCACCACTACAGAACTCACAGAACCCCAGTGTCACCATCACATCACAGCTATTCCACAAACACTACTGTTCACATACCTCCTAAAGATAGATAACCCCAGTGACATGAACATGTCATAAACACCATCAGTACTGGGGGAGGGGTAACCCTATCCATCTCACAACAACACTGTCATCTCACTGACTCTGTCGCTTGCTGGAGAGTTGAATAGATAACCTACTGACGGTCTGAATGTCTCCATCTAACATCACACCATTCACTATCATCACTATCACTAGAAGGCTGTGGGATAACAACCCATGGCATCATCTCACAACTCGGCCAACCCACACACTATCTCTAGACAATACAGAAAGCAACATGGCCTTCTAAACTAATAAACAATAAATACTGTAAAACGACAGGGCTCGGAGAGATAACCCATGGCAAGAACATCATTCATAAAATATTTTAGCTACAGGAGGAAATAATATACCCAAACCCATGGGCTTTACTTCAAAAGACCTTTTCACAAACATTTGTCTTCTTTATCTAACCCTCAGTTTACCTGAAAACACATTTAATTTAATTGACAACTTGGCACAAAGACGCTCTACCATAAGCTACCATAAGGCAGCTTAACAGTCCATGTGAACCACGGCATTAATGTAATAAAACATAGCAAGGCTAGGAGCTCTTGATACAGAACATTAATGCAGCAATAAATTACTGCCATGTAAAAGTTATTAGGTTTTAAACCACAAGCTGTATTAAACAGCATAACCAGGCGACGGTTGATGAGATCATCAACTAGGCAGTCACTTGTTGATGACTTCATTCTCAGGTCAGGCTGAGGTCGCCTCTCTCAGTGGGCCTCTAGATCTGAATGAAGTATCTGGGTCTACAGGAAATACATGTTTCTACCATTCCCTCCCTCTCTCCATCTCTCTCTTACTCTTTCGTTCTCTAAGCGACGAGCGTGCAGAGCCCTCAGCGAAGCGCGCAGAGCGAGCACGAAGCGACGAGGGAGCGGAACGCGTCGAGGCAGGGCGATGCAGCGCAGCGGAGCTGAGAGCCGCCAGCCGCGACGACCAGCGCGCAGACGCAGAGCACGGAGCGTCTCGTAGGAGAGGCGCCCGCAGCGCGAAGCGCTAGCTGGAGGAGCAGATGGCCAGTGGATGAGCGAGAGATATATGCCGATCAGGCTATATCGCTCTGAGTACGATCCTGCGCTAGTCAGACGCCGGATCGGAATATGCGAGCAGATCGTGCAGCTAGCGTCGCGATCAGACGCGATCAGCGCGACGCTAGTAGAGAGAGAGCGAGCCAAGACGTCAGGCTCGCGATAGCACCTGGACAGTCCGACTCGAAGACGATAGCCGCGAAGAGTAGCGAGCGCGAGGACAGAGCGAGCGCCTCTCACGCGCCGAGTCATCTGCCGCGACCGCGCGCTATCTCTCTCTTACTCTCTCTCTCTCTCTCCACCCCCCCCCCCTATCTCTCTATATGGCTGTGTTAACTAACGTGTCAGCTGAGTGGATTCTCACAGGTGACATTCCGGACCTTTCCCAGGAGTGAAGATGGGAATGTTGGGAATAATCAACATGGACCTAGAGCAGAGCTGAGTTCATGATGAGTTTATGTGTATGGAACTTTTAAAGTGTCACACACACAGACACACACACACACACTTTATCACACATACCTAGAGGGACGTGAAAACCTTTTGTATTAAAATTCTCTATCTGGATCCTGTATTATCTCAGTGTGCTGAAACACAGTCCTGAGTGTGCTGAAACACAGTCCTCAGTGTGCTGAAATAGTCCTGAGTGTGCTGAAACACAGTCCTGAGTGTGCTGAAACACAGTCCTGAGTGTGCTGAAACACAGTCCTGAGTGTGCTGAAACACAGTCCTGAGTGTGCTGAAACACAGTCCTGAGTGTGCTGAAACACAGTCCTGAGTGTGCTGAAACACAGTCCTGAGTGTGCTGAAACACAGTCCTGAGTGTGCTGAAACATAGGTTCCATCTTCTCAGCAGGCTCACTTTAACTAGTGCTGCGTTTTCCATCTAACATCTCCAGTCATGAGTTCAGACTCATGAGCACAGCAGTGAATAGTAATACTGTGTTTGGTATTGTAGATCATTGTGACTGGAGAGATGGTCACTTACACAGACCTTTTTTCCATTTATTCTCAGAACCACCACCCTCCCTCCCTCTCTCCCTCCCTCTCCAGCTCATGGGAATCCCTAAGCCTGGACAGTGTGTGGAGTCTGGTAGGGAGGGAGGGGTGGTGTGGGACAGTCTAGGCTAGAAGGGCATGGGGCCAGTCTTCCAGTCTGGGGAGCAGGGCGAGGAGTGAGGGGCGCCTGGAGCAGCCTGGAGCAGAGCAGGGGGCCAGTAGTGACGTGTGCCGCCCACGATCTGAACCTCCTGGGGGTCATTCCTGTCACATGGCCCCCCGGTCACCATGGAGAGGGATAATAGTTAAAGTCGACTCTGCTATGAGGTCACACTCCTTCTAGGGAGGGTCAGCGTGTGTGTGTGTGTTTAATTAATGATGTGTGTGTATAGGGAGATGATACAGTGACAGCATTACTGACACTTTGACCTCTGTTATCCTGTTGAAATATCAACAACCCCTGGCTTTCCTCCCTAATTTCTTTCCCCTCTCTTTCCTTCCACCAGAGAGACAGAATGACCCAGATCTGTGGGCAGGCTAGCGAGTGTATGTGAATGTGTGTTTGTGTGTCGTGTGGTGTGTCTATCGTGTGGTGTGTGTCCAAGTCTAGTGAGGTCATAAAAACAGGTGCAGACAGCCGTCCCTGTGGAGTAGGATAGGATCAGAATTACTTTTATGAATCACAAATGTCTTTATTAACTAAACACACACACACAGTCCCAAAGATGTCAACTGGACCGTTGAAGAACTGCCAAGCTTATGGATCAGTCACTGTCTTGATGCAGAACAACCATTCAAGTAACTCCAACTCCGGGACTGGGACACCCACCCATGATGTAGATCCCTGTAGATGTTCTTCTGACACCAGTGATG